GCGAGTGACTGAAGCTTCCAACCGCTCCTTGTTTTCTTTTCTTTTTTTTTTATTCTGGGCCAGCTTTAGCTCTGAGGCCTCGCTGCTGAAAACATCGATACAAAGTTTCGGTCTGGCTGTCTTTCAGTCCAGCTGTTTTCTGGGGTTTTGTTTAGCTTCTTTTTTGCAACATAGTGTATAGTTGCTTAGAGTTGCAGATGAGATGCTGGCAAGTGAGGCGGGGAATGTTGGAGTCTGCAGCAAGCAAGCCTCGTGCTCGCTTCAGTGCCTGGCTGCCGGCCGCCATCTTGGCTGACAGTTAATTTGCATATACTCACTGATTAGCCAATGAAAAGGGTAGCGGTCGTACGCCAATTACCATGTTTCTCTTTTATTAGTGTAGATTATTCATACTTTGGTCATGTATTGTGCACCAAGTTCCAGTAGCTTCACGCTAACCAATGGTGTGCTGGAAATTTGGCTCTCCAGAAACAATAACAACCACCCTGTTTTGTAGTGTTTGCTAATTTCCATGGCATAAATAATCCCACCATGATGATTTTCAAGCATCCAAAGGTTTAGTAACAGGCTCACAAAATTAATAATATTGAACATTTGACTCTTGTGACAATAGCAGCTAGCTGTATCTTTACCACTGCCCCTCACCCCAGGTACATGTCATCCCATGACACCCTCACTATAAGGGTCAGGGCTCCCCTACCCTCAGTCTTCACCATGTTGTTTGGTCTTCTGAAATGTTTTCTATATCAGGGGCAAAATAACTAGAGTGTGGAAGATTCTGAGTTGCCATTTTAAGATTGTTGATATTCTATAAAAATATGAAAGTTTGCATATATTTTTCCATTTATTATTTTAGACTACATTTATTAACATACTGTGCTGCCCTGACAGGTGGCTCAGTTGGTTGGAGTGTCACCCCATATACCAAAATGGTTGCGGGTTCAATTCCTGGTCAGGGTACATACCTAGGTTGTGGGTTTGATCCTGGGTCGGATGCTAATAGGAGGCAACTGATCAATGTTTCTTTCTCATATCGATGTCTCTCTCACTCTCTCTCTCTCTCTCTCTCTCTCTCCCTTTCTCTCTAAAATCAATAAAAACATATCCTCAGGTGAGGATTAAAAAAAAAAAAACAGCCCTGGCCAGCATGGCTCAGTGGTTAGAGTGTCTCCCCACATACCTAAGGGTTTTGGGTATGATTCCTGGTCAAGGGCATGTACCTGGATTGCAGGTTTACTTTCCCCACCTGTTTGGGGTGCGTGCGAAAGGCAACCAGTGGATGTCTCTCACATTGATGTTTCTCTCTCTTCTCCCACCCCTCACTCCCTTCCACTCTCTCTGAAGAGCAATGGAAAAAATGTCCTTAGGTGAGTATTAACAACAACAACAAAAGAACATATGTGCTGAATGAAGATAATTTTCAGGACTAAATGGATTGATAGAATGACTTGATTATACACTTATTTTAGTTAAAGGTTGAACTTGTACTCTTGAAATTAATAGTAATTTATAATATCATGCAGATAAAGGATCTCTTAAAGAGAACTGTAGAAGGATTTGTAAAACTCTTTGACCAAGGAGATGAACGAGGGCTGCCGATATTTAAGATGGAATTGACAATTGATGATGAGAAAATGGAATTTTACCCTACCTTTCAAGATTTGGAAGATGTTGTTTTTGGTTTGGTAGAGAGAATAGCTGAAGCTCTGCAGGTATCACTTCATCCTTATCTATCAGGTTTCTTTATATGGCTCTTTTTCAAAATTTTAAATTGAGTTGAAACTCCATAAAGTATTTATATACATAAAATGTTGCAACTCTTTGTTTCCATACTCCAAGTTATTTTATGTTAAAATAAAATGCTTTGTCTTTGAGAAAGTCTTCTGGTTGAAGATAACATTTGTTCTTAGAAGTCTTATTGTAGTTATGACAACCTCCCAACAGGCCCTGCCTCTGATCAGAGTGGGGGAGCCAATCAGGGGTAGAGCTGGCGGGGGGAAGAGGCCGTAGGCTAATCAGGGTGGTGGGGGCCCATTGGGGTTAGGGACGGCCAGGGGGAGGGGCTGCAGGTGGTTGGCCGGCTGGCCCTGCCCCTGATCGGGGTGGGGGGGCCCATCGGGGGCCTATAGGGGTGGTGGAGGCCCATTGGGGTGAGGCTGACCAAGGGGAGGGGCTTCAGGAGGTTGGCCACTGGCTCTGCCCCCTTTAGGGGTGGGGGGCGATCGGGGGTGGGGCCGGCCTGGGGACAGGGCTGTGGGAGGTTGGCTGGCTGGCTCCACCCCCCAATTGGGCTAGTTTGCTGGCCGCAGTGGGTGGTTGTTCCTGTTGTTACGGGGGTCCTTTCGCTGGCTTTTTATATATATAGATTACAAACTATACAACTTTAAATCATTACTGTATTTTGCATCAAGTTATCTTTTCTTGTGCCACTAAAATCTGAAAAGAGTGTTCAAAAATATAAGATCTACATATACTAGTAGACCAATTACACAGTTATTTCATAAACTGTCATTTTTATTTATGTTAGAATGTCCAGTCAGTACCCTCTTGGCTATCAGCAGCTTCACCACCTGTAAATCTTGACACAGAACTTCCAGAACATATGTTACAGTGGGCACTTGATGTGCTAAAGGTGGAAATACATCGTAACTTAGAAGGTGCAAGACAACACTATGAGACATACGGTATATGTGATAAATATGATATTATATCTTTTTATTATAAAAGAATGACATTTTATTTTTACTAGAATTTGGCTAGATATTTGGTTGTCTGGGGCTGTCATGAAAGAGCAGGGAGAGCCAAAAGTTAGCATGAACATGGCTGTTGGCAGCATCAAGGATCAAAACTAAGAAACTTGAATTCTGTTGTCTGGTCCAAAGAGTGAATGCTAACTGGATCAGGGTGATAAAGCCAAAAGATAGAAAGAAGAGATGTTGGAATAAGGAGAAAGCTAAGTTAAGGTTAAAAGCAAAGTAATCTATAAGAATAGCAGCTCAAGTTTATAGTCTTCTCAAGTGTGTATGAAGTCAGGATAGGTAATTTTACTTGATATCTTAAGCAAAATCTTTTATTAACTGGCTTATTTTTATCTCTTAAATTATTTTAAGATCATTACATACCCTTTTATCTTTATTTTGAAACATCTGTATTTAACCTGGTTTGCTTAAGTCTATTTTATTCCATTCTATTTCTATTAATGTACTAGTATGTTAATACTCAATTAATAATAATAATTAATTGAATAGGCTATTCCATTCTATGATCATATAAAAAAGCACTTATCTTTTTAAAAGGTTAATATTGATATTTAAATTAGATTATTAATTTTCAGTTGAAAAATATAATTGGCTCCTTGATGGCACTGCAGTTCAGCTGATAGAGACTTTTCAGGCGGAAGATCACACTTTTGATGAATACACAGAGGTAAGTGATAATTCTGTTTTTGATTAATGCCTTTTGAGTATCCTTTTAAAATTATGATCTTTTTATTCTAGAAAATAAATGCTTCAATTAAAGTTATTTGAATTTATTCAAAACATCATTTTAGTAAACTTATAGATTTACCTCATAATTTCTTTAGTCATTCATTTACTCATTCATTGATTCAACAAAAATTTCTTCATCACATTCAGACACCTAGCAAGATTTTGGTGATGTAAAAATAAATAATACATTAACATTGTTCTCAGGAGCTTATACTTGGCCTGGAAGCTAGACATATCAATGGAAATATTGAGATAAGTACTGGAATACAGATATGGATGAAGTGTGAAAGCACAGAAGAGGAAAGGATTGCTTTTGCTTTGTGAAATTCGTGAAGGTTTTTAAAAGTAGTGATAAGTGAGCTAGGTTTTGAAGTAGATGTTTATAGGTGGATTTAGCTGAAGCAGGGAGGCATGGAAGAGACTAACATAGCTCAATGTGGGGTAGGGGGGAATGAGAAGACATAAACTAAAGAATTTATATACATAGTCCATGGACACAGGCAATAGGGTAATAAAGACCTTGGGTGTGGGTAAGGGCTGTGAGTAGGGGGGAAGAAGGGAAGGAATGGGAGATATCTGTAATACTATCAACAATAAAAATCTTCTATATCTACACTAATAAAAGAGAAACATGCAAATTGGTGTCACTCCGCTACCTTTCCCATTGGCTAATCAGGGCGATATGCAAATTAACTGCCAGCCAAGATGGCGGCGGGCAGCCAGGCAGCTTGAAGCAAACATGAGGCTTGCTTGCTTCAGTGACGGAGGACTCCAACGTGCCCCGCCTGCCGCTGCCGGCCTCTGAGCTTGCAGTTTGAAACATTGTTACAAATATAGAAGCTAAACAAAACCCCAGAAACCTGCTTTCAGCCAGCCGGGATCTCAGAGCTGGAGTTGAAACAGTGTTTCGATTATAGAACCCAAACAAACCAGATACCGGCTTTCAGCAGCCGAGGCCTAAGAGCTGGAGCCAAGCCTCAGAGCTAAAGCTGGCCCAGAATAAAAAAAAAAA